GTGCTGGTTGGTCCCATGAGGTGTCTAATTCCAGTCGTCTAGGCCAACTATTTTTAGATGAGGCCTAAATTGGTCCAGAAAGTGGGGAAAATAAGTTTAAGACCTTCAGATTTTGAGATATTGCTTACCAACAAAATATACAGGTGAATATCTTGCAAAAGGGCCACAGAGCAAAGGTGGTCACTGGGTGACAGAGTTTCAAAACTTTCTGCGCGCTCTCGAGCATCCGATAAACACATCTGATATCACGGCATCGACCGCGGCGAGACCACTGATCACTATCAGTGGGCGAGACAACGTCATCAGCGGCATCAGGCACGGCGATTTTTCAGTACCTGTTGGTAGTCTTGGTTCAAGACGCTAATACCTGATGTTATTGGGCGTGAACATGATCTACATCATTTTTGCGCTAAGGAAATACATCAGTCCATATAGGGACCCAAACATTTCTCTGAGTTTCGCAAGCCAACAAGAGCATAATAGTTCATATATTGGAGCTTAGATATTGACCGACTTGATTCAAGCCGTTATGATCACAAAAGCTGGGATAACACGCCGCCCCTGTAGTGTATTTTTTTATTAATATTGTTATTATAATTAATGATGGTTTATTTTAAACACTGTGATTGTAGCCCGGAGGCTAAATCCCCACAGTACACACAGCTTAACTATTCAATAAATAAAACATTAATTAAAGCATTACAAATTGAAAGTAGACACATCTCATCTAAAATAAACACAAAACAACAATCAGAAAATGAAAATCACTTACATGTAAGATACAAACAGAAAATTGCACTGTTATAACCAATGCCCACAAAATCACAAATCAATTAAAACCAACCCTTAACAGCTTAATGATTAAGCAGACTTATAAAATATGGGATGGGACTATTCTTGTAACGTTTGGTCTTACATGCTAACGTGGACAGGTTTATGGCATTTCTGAGTTGATATTGCACTTGACTATGTCTCGGCTGGGGTAACCACTTATGGAATGTATTGGAAGACTTCAGTTGGACTGCAAAGTCTGAACTATTCAATAAAGGTCTCTTCGACGATTTTGAAGAGACACAAGACTGCATTTAGTCAGAGCTGATTCATAGTCTGAATACTCCATACCCAAGATGATTTTGAGTGCACGTTTTTGTATGCTTTCCATCTTCCCTTCATGAGATTTTGTTAAGCCTGCATTGCAAACCGGTGTGTCATATTCCATAAGTGGCCAAATCATACCCCTAAACACTATTAACAGATCGGTAATAGGCAAGTTAAACTTTTTCAACAATTTAAAGCATGTAGATTTACTGTTAGACTCAGGATAAATATGATCGACGTGTTTGTCCCATTTGAGGTCTGTACGTACCTAAGACGGTCTCCGTCTGCTTCTGCATATTCCTAGGAAAAAGTAGCCAAGTCCGTACGTACAAAAAGAGGTGGTCCAATAGACTGGCCAAAGGAGTTGACTTTAATGTAAACATATTTGGCGGATCCAGAGCCTGATGTTCCTGGCTCCTTTCTGATGGATGACACTAAATTTTGCAACTTTTAAACGCTGTTTTTCAAAAACACAAAATACCTCTTTTTGCGGGCCATGACCTCGGGACCTCCGAGTTCAGATCTATCAATGACCAACTAGGCATATCCACTGATTTTTATGATTATACATTATCCTTCTGTGCGGAAGTCCTCAAAGGAAAAAGACAATCATCTGTTTGTTAATCCTTTTCACACGAAATACCTCTTAAGGTAGGCCCACCGTCGTATATATGGGAGCACCTTGAGGCATATAAACTATATAACGGAGCACGTCGTTTCTCCCCATGGGGGGCACGGATCTCGGAGGCCACCAGGATAACCAGGATATTTTCCAAGAGGGATTGGCTTTGAAAGTCAGTTTCCTAGGTTTCATTATGTGTTTGGAAAGTTTTAGGGATTTCAGGGCCAAAATGTGGAAGACATTGGGTGGATCCTCCAACGCCCAGGCGGCTGCGGGCCGCTGATCATGCGTTGTAGTTTTCCTACCCCCATGGCTGAGAAAATGCAAAAGTACGAGGCAATCTTGTGAAGCGATTCACGAGACCCAGGAATATTGTGGATTTGCTTCGACACCCCTCAAGATCGTCAGGATCTCAGTCTGGTAAGAACTCATTAGGGTACCAGTTGAACTCCGAGTCCTCAGCCCTTTATCTGTTGGCACTCATTCTATGTACATGTATTTTTGATCATTATAGTTTTGGTTGGCAGACCAGATCCACTTCTCTTATTGTTCTGATACCCGTGTATAGCACATGTAAAGATAAACGTAGAAGGTGTGGTGTTCATTTGTAGACCTTTAGTATGGTGTTCCATATGTGCCATCCGGCGTCGCATTTTTCAGCCGGCGTC